GGTTGATACCAGGAGGAGCCTCCATGATGCTTGCTTTTGTGACGCTCTAGCAAGCGCTGGCGAGTCCTGGGAGGAGGTGAAGAAGAGGAGGAGACCAGGTCGTGAGCGAAAGCAGCTGTGGCGGGTCTGGCATGCAAATATCTGGTTTCGTCTATATGGTTTGCGCTAGTCAAGCTCGGCGATGGGCAGAACGAACACAAACGTGGCGGTGGGATAGACGGACGGGGAAACAATGGGATGACAAGTCACTGAGGACGTTGGCCTATCTTTATCCACGAAGCTTGGCTATCTTCTGCCCGGGCCACGGGGTTTCTCCTGGATCAAAGGATTTGATTCGGACCCGGATCTCACTCACGTCTGGGAAAGGGGAAGAAAGGATAGAGGGTGTGAGACACTACACCACACGAGGCAAACCCGCAAAGAGTGCTACACCACAACGAGCGCAAACTCGAGGCCCGCCAGGTTTTGCCATATTCCGTGTCTCATATGGGTCTAACGTGGAGAACGTCTGTAGGGATCGACGGATCTATTCCCAAGGATCCTCCTCTGGTCGATTGCCTTTTGGAGCTTTTGGGGATGGCCAGGAACCGTGCGCACGGTAAGACATGTTGCGAGAATCAATGGGGCGTCTTTAACGGTGGTGGATTTGGACGATGCCACATGGACTGGCCCTTTGAGCGACGACACTACCTACCACTACTCGGGCCTGTCGAATTGGATGTCTCGTTCCCCCACCGGAACGCAGCCGTTCGCCGCGGCGGCGCGAAAGCTGTTGATATTGATGTTGACGTTTAGATGAACCTTGGCCACGCTCTCTTGCGGGCGGGATGTGGGATGAGGAGGGTGGCAGCAGCACCGGGCAGTGGACGGTCTGCGGTGTTGCAGCACTGCTTGTCAGCAATGCGCTTAGGGTTCCAGGGACGCAACGGTATTATTTTGGTCGCGGCATATAGGACGGTCATCTCCCGTTACGCTGGCATGGTGACGGCGCATCCATCTGCCTCTTCGCACGAGCCAGGGCCATCTTGGTACGGCATCTTTGCCTTCTTGGAGGAAGGTGAACGCGATTCAGTATCACCGATAGAGAGACTCGTGGTGTCTCAGACCACCTCCTGGCATGTGCAAGTATGGGTCTCGACATGGAGCGGGCCTTGGTGGACTTGGTGGCCTGCCATCAAGCTGGAGCAAGACGTCTGTGTGTTGACGAGATGGCCCAATGATGGCCGTCTAGACATGGTGACGACCTTGACCCGCGGGTGTCCGTAGTTGCATACCGTCCCTGCTAGCCGTTGGAGAGCGGCCGGGGTAAGCCCATTCCGAGGCCCGGTGAAATGAGGAGACTTGACGAGCATCGCGGGGATTTTCTCAGGGTCATAGCTGACTCGCATTGGGACGTCCCAAGAGCGCGACTCTGGTGGTATTCTGTATCGACGATCGCCGCTGGCGGGAAGTCAAATGGAAATAGGCTGGTCGGTAGGCACTCTGCTGCTTAATAGCAGAATTTGGTGAGGATTAAAAACAAGGCTGATGGTCCTCCAAAGACGCTATTGTTCATCTGATCCGGGGACAGACTTTGGTGGCCGGAATCGGGTGAAACAGAGACAGCGTCTAACACTACGGGCCGGACGGCGGACTTTCACTGCTGGAGACGATAAACGCGCGCGGGTTGCTCCACGATGCGGCACTGCAAGCGGGCTGAGGGTCGTTTCTGGACTGGGGCTTCGTCTAACCGGACCCAGAAGTCGCAGGTATTTGAGAGAGAGAAAGGCGCATCGAGTTTCAACGTCCAGACGGCTATGAATTCTAACGCCCCCGACGGTACTGGCTGGCGGTGCTCAACTGGGCAACTTCGGCGACTCAAGCCGAATAAGTGGCAGGACTGGCGCTGGTTCAGTGGTTCTAGCCTCCCAAACTGGCGTCGGGGGTTACCTTGTTGGCGTGTGAGACTAGGGTCTTGTAAGTCATGCCATCGAATGACTCTCATTCAGGGCACGCAATGGAGGACGAAGGTCTGAGCGCAAAGCACTTTGTCCTCGGCACGACTGGCCGGACACGGTCAATCTTCACCAACGCTGTTTTCTTCGGGCAATGAGAAGAGATTCTTCAGCGAGAATCTTGATAATCTTGCCCAGTTGCCCAGGACCCTTGGTGATACTATCCCCCATTGAGGACAGTTCACAGCGGTCGCATGGGGAATAAACTTTGGCTCATTGCCCGCTGATGGACCAGTGGCGTCGAGATCGGCGGACTTATTGGCAGTTCTTCAAGCCTGCCTGGACGCCATGATGTGATGACATGCGCCTCTTTGCTGCTGGCACAGGGGCACGGCCCCGGTGTCAAAATGTCATGCTCCAATCCTGCGTTACTGCAGATAGTGTTGCTGTTCCCAATATGCTTCTCGGGGCAACTTTATCGTCCATCAATGGAACAAAGCATGGCGAGAGCACCTGGTGAAGGAGGGGTGCGATTACCCCGCCTACCATTGACTCTGTCGCCTATCGAAGAACATGATGTCTGGCATGTGCACGGCCATCATGTTCGTTGTTGTTTGCTGCCATATCACTCACTTCATCTCCATCGGTTCAATGCCATCCATCCCACTCGGATTGCAAGCGTGTGTGCACAGGGCATCTCGTGGCCATCATAATGAGATGGTGACAGTTGCATGGCGTCGGGGAACTGATCCTCTGCAAGCTCAATCACACCGGATGACGATATACAAACTATTGGGCGAGTCGGATGAGCATCCAGATCTCGCGAGGCAAGCTTCTTCTGGTGGACATTGCGCTCCGATGTAAGCCCGTCCTTGCTCTCTTTCAAAAAGCCTCACGAGGAAAAACGGGCGAAGGAGGTCAAAGCGACACACCGTCTGAATCCTGCATCCGGGCCGCACCGTTAATGGTTCAACGGCTCAGTTGTCAAGAGAACGGTGTGTGGACTGTGGCAAACAGACGAGCGTTGACAGTCTGGGATGGCCATGATGTCCGTGTTTGGTCTCACGAAATCGAATTCGCGATAGTCCTCCGTGGATAGGATCGCTTAACCCCTCTTGCACATGACTCTGAAATCACCAGATTTTCTGGTTCAAAAGTATCTGAAACAGCCTGAGATGTCGCACCGGTGACTAAACGTGACTGCAAATCAAGCTGGTACGGCTCCGCAGGTGAGGGGCAGTGTGCTGTGATGGCTGTGTGATTGTGAAGTGAATGAGTCGCTCCCCGGATCAGAACGTGGGAGTCAGGACTGGTGATGGCGTCTGTTCCTGCTGCCCAGGACGGGGTTCAACCAAGACCCTTGGGCCCACGTGCGATACATGAACTGAAGCAATCGCGGATTGGCGACTCTGGACGGTGTAGACACGGAGATGTGGTTCCTGCTTCATCGATTGTAAATCAATCACGAGTTGGCAGGGTGCTCGTTGAATCGCGAAAGCGACGATCCATGGCGGACCTGCGGAGATGTTCCCACTGAGTAGAGTAATAAGGTCGCAGGCAGCGAGCCGAGACGCAGCATGGTGCTTATCTCGCACAGAGTCGCTTGCTGGCGAAACGGGTTGCTCCATTATTTGCCCTGCTTGCAGTTGCCCAACTCCACTGTCCAATCCTGCTTGGTCATTTTGACGGATCTTGGTTGAAGTCGGAGTTGCAAATATTACAATGGGATACGGCGGTTGTTTCTTGGGACGCATCTGCTGCCCTCTGTCATTTCTCACATGCGTATGGACACACCCTGCGATGGATGCGGCGGTAGAATGAGGACACCGAACTCCGTAAAGTTGTAATCGCGCTAAATACGTGCAGAAATGCTGCTTCTATCCGCTGGTTCAGTACACCCATGTTGGTAACTGGTGGGTGAGTGTTTGGTGCCTGATTGTTACTGAAGAGAATGCCGGGATATCCTGAAGAACCGCGGTCGTAAGCAAGTTACGGCACTGCGCGAGGCTCCAGTAGCGCATCCGTTGTAATTGCTGTTGTTCGGCACTGATTGTTGCTCATCTCGTTGGATCAGTGCGTTGAGCATCATCTCGCAATCACCGTCCAAATGCCGTGGGTGGGTGAGCTGGGAGTAACGATCATTGTCCGTCCTCATTGCCGGGCATGAATGCCATCATCCCGATCCGAGGCTCCCCGGTGAATCTAGCTTGACCGATGTGACATTCTCGGTAGCAATGCCTGGCTCGCGGGCTGTGTCCGTGTCCTTTCGGTGTGGTCGGTGATAACAGTGGTACGGATGTCAATAATCAGGCTGGGCTCTTCGCAATCAGCGGGTCATTGTCCTTGATTACTTGCACGCTTGAGGAAATCCAGCACCGAGGAAGCAACCTAATGACTCGCAGACTTGGGCAGAAGCCAGCAATCATGTTAAATAAGGAGGAATGCCGCTGCTTTTGATGTCTTGGGCCATGCGACGCTGTGCTGACAGTGCCCCTGGCATGTGCATCCATAGCGCTTTAAGGCGCCCCTAGCCTTTCTAGCTTTTAGCGGCGTCTGTTAATGAAGGCTGACGACGCGGCCAGCTAGTTGCGGCTCAGGGGAAGACTTGTCAGAGATGTCAGCTGTGGACGTTGTTTCAATCGATTTCGAATGCAAGTCGTCTGGGCAGCGAATGGAAGACAGAATTATCTACATGTCCAGCGCACCGCAGTTCAATTAGATAAGGCCTGAGTAGGTGATGTTCGCATTCACTAGTTCAGTCGGAGGACCCCGGCCATTTGTCCGGGGGCACTGACATCACCAACGCAACTCAGCTGATCTTGGGTTTAACTCTCTTTCTTTAGCAGTGCTGTCAGTTACATCCACTTTAACTATCCTATTCTTTGTGTGTTGCATTTTGAGTTTTGTTTTCCTGCTTCCTGCTTCCTACTTCTCAGCAGCCTCGTAGTTGCCCCACAACGGTTAACAATACGAGGACAACACTGGTGGAACAAACTCGCGATGCTGAGGTGGACCTCGTCCGTTGACCCTCACAAATTGGAATAACGCTCCGATGTCGCAACAGCTGGCCGGCTGGCGCAATGGTAGCGCGTCAGCCTCCTATTCCATCAGGAGGTCTTCACAGCTGAAGGTTCTGGGTTCGAGTCCCAGGTCGGTCGAAGAGCGTCACAAGATGTGCTTTCTCTTTTGTTTTTTGTCCATTTATTGCGTTTTCCTGTCTCGCGCCAGTGCTTGCAGCAGTCTAGCACTCGAAGAACGATGCCTATCTATTAATACGCAAGTAAGATGGCCGGCTCAGTGCTACTTATACCCACCCCACCCCTCCGTGCTCACCTTAGACAACTGCTGGAAGTTTCCAGCTCGAGTGGAAAATATCTAGCGAACAAATCACTCATGACAAACAAGCCTGCACAGTTGAGAGGTGCAGCCTTAAGCACGCCAGTCCGTATCACCGTAGGACTGTCGCATTATTATGATTTATATAGTTGGCCAACTTCGTGAACATGCACAAGCGTTTCAAACCATTCGAGTTTATGTATTCATTCATCATCGATTTTTATTTTGGTTCATCCCTATGATTTAAGGAAGAACAAAGCTACCAAGGTAGTCCGCCTTGCCAACCGGGACACCCTTCGCTCTCAAGATGGCATATCCAGCGTTGAGGTGGAAGAAGAAGTTGGGAATGCCATGGCTCAAAGCCGCCTCGGTTGCGGTGAGCTTAAGTGTCTTTCCACCGAAAATAGGCCTTGTAACATCATGTCAGTCTTCTGATTACAGATATGCCTCAGCAGCAGGGTTACTCACAACTCAACCTCGGAGCTAGCCTTGGCGTTGACAGTGGCGGCGTCGACCTTGCTGAGCAAGTCAAGCGTCTCCTTGATACGTGCGTGCAAGTCCGCAAACGTCTTCTCCTTGTTCTCGAACGGCTCCAGCTCAACACCGGTCAGACGGCCGATGTTGGTCTTGACAGTCTTGGTAGCATTCTGCACCTGGAAGGTGAGGGGAAGCTGGTCCTCAATGATACGAGCCTCGGCGTAGGTGTTCACGTCGACTCCATTGGCCTTGGCGTACTCCTCGGCCTTGGTGAGAATGTGTTGGAAGGTCTTAAGACCCTTGGTGAAGGTGGGAATGGTTGCGTCGTAGACAGATACAGTGGCCATGTTTGCTGTAATTGAGGAGAATTTGGTGATGAAAGAGGGGAGGAAGTCGGAAGGTTCGGGACTAGATTGATGGTTTTAACTATGGTCAAGGTTTATGTTGTGCATGCGCTGAAGTCGTCCGAAACAATGACGGTTCGACAGAACTTCAGACCATCTTTATATCGCGGGGAAGTTGAAGGGCTGTGATTATCGAATGCTGATTTGTAATGGCGTGCTTGGTAAGCCCCAGATCAAAGCGTATGCAAGCCAATCTAGGAACAAGCGGTGACAGTCAGGGACAGTGAGATCTTACGCAGATCCTCCATTATTATTCGACGTTGGTGTGTCGTGATAGTCTGGGGATTTTACGAATGCCCTGATCTGTCCCGCAGTGAGAGGCCCGGCTTGGGGTTGTCACCATCCTGGTGGAACGTCACGTTATCAGCTGTCAGATGGCGTCATCGTTTGGTATCACGAACACTGCGATATCGCTTCAACATTGACAACATGACATGAAACTTTGCATGATAGACAGCCAATTGACAATGCGACGCTCGAATCACGTAAACATGAGAGAGGGGAAATCGGATGATGCCACCGAGCTCGGCCATCGATTCCGAAAGCCTTCACGATGATACTCCAGGTTACCAACTTTCACAGAGATAGGCACCATGAGATGATTCCACGTAAGACTAGCCAGAGTCTTCCATCATGTTTTTACTGATTCTTTTGGACAGAGAATCGCGTTGTGTCGCGAATCTTCTACCAGGCCTTAGTCAGTCAAAACACTGCATCAAGAGCGGACTAATATCCACGATTCGAATACCTAACTTATCTTACATGGAAGGCAATGCCTATTTCAGTCACCAAGCTTTTGATAATCACCTTTGGAGATTTTGGACAGCTGTTGATCAGATTGGAATATGACCTTAGTTAGAAAGTCGTCCCGAATGTGACTTCATAGAGACCAGGGGAAACATGCATGTATCTGTATCAAGCGATCAAGATAAAGCCAACGTCCAAGCTGAATGAGTAAAAGCAGCTTGAAGAAATAGACCGAATCTATTAAAGGTTGATCCAATTCAAGCTCTGTGAACCAGGGCCCACTACAATTCAAGCAAAATAAGTAAGTAAATTAATTAATTTAATTAATTATAAGGCTATTACTAGTTAATTAATTTAATTATTAGGGTTAAACTTAATTGTTTTACTTAATTTACTTAATAGCTTAGTTTATTGTGAGATTTTAGAATAAATAAATATTCTACTACTAAATATCCCTACCTATCCCTACTTATCTATATCTACCTATTTATATCTACTTATCTATATCTAATAAGACCTTAGTAAGGTATAAATTACCCCTTTTTTTTTAGCTTAGCTTCTTCTTTTTTCTTCCCTAAATAATATTCTCTAAGCACTTACGCTCTATATAGTAGTAAAGAAGATCCCTTTAAAGTATTAAGAATTTAACTCTTAAGATCTACTAGAGATTTATATTAAATTTATTATTTTATTACTATTATTCTCTATCTTTATTATCCTTTAAATATACTATAAAGGTAAAAGTATTACTATATTTACTTCTATTCTCCTTTATTTATCCTATAATAGATATCTACTATATTAGTAATCTTATATCTAACTCTAACTTTTCTTCTAAATACTTTTAGCTAACTTTCTAAACTTAGATTTATTACTTCTTAGCTTAATAAAGGTAAAAACTACTTCTTACTTAATTAACTTATATTTAAAGACCTTTTTAAAGTTAAAATTAATAATAAGAAATATATATAAGAGTTAGATCTTTAGAGAAAAAGTAAAAGGGAGAGAAAAAACTAAATAAGAAGCTATAGCTAGTATTTTATTTTATACTAGCTAGATAGTAATCTAAGCTAAAGTTATTAAGCTTATTATTTTTATAATCTTAAAAGTAAGTAGCTACTTCTTAATATTAAAGCTACTTTTTTTACTTTAAAGTATTTAAAAAAGTATTATAATAGAAGTTTATAGATATTAAAAAGTTCTAAAGAACTAAATAATATCTTATATAAAAAGTAGTATTTAAATTTTACTAATATAATAAAAAATTATATAAAAGCTATCTAAAAAGCTACTATCTACTTTATTATAGATACTAACTTTCTTTTTATTATCTATAAGAACTTTACTTTTTAATATATAATCTCTAAGAATAATTAGCTAGAAATAATACTATAGTCTACCTCTTTAATAGTTTATATACTTAAAGTTATTTAGAAGTAATAGAAGATAGTAATTTAATAGGAACTTCTATATACTAACTCTAAAATCTATATAAGCTTTAATCTATAAACCTCTCTAAGTTACTATACTATTATAAGTATTATTACTTATTTTATTATTAAAGAGAAAAGTCTTTAAATATATTTAATTACTATAAAGAAGTAACTTAAGCTTTATAATAGTATTAACTTTATAAATACTTTAGAAGAGGTTATTAAGGACTAAGGTATTATAAAGTAAATAAGAACTTTAATCTCTAATAATATAAGCTTAAATAATATTTATATAAAAAGTTTAATTCTTTAGCTTAATCTTTTTATAAAGAAAAAGTTAGATATTTAAGCTAAAAGGATTTAATACTTTAAGTATATCTTTAACCTTATATTAAAAGCTTTTTTATTTAGTAAAGACTCTAAAAACTTTAAGAGATAGTTAGATATATATATTCTTCTATAGTAAAATAAAACTAACTTTAAGTATTAATATAAAGCTAGCTTTATTAGTAAACTTTATAATATTATAAAGTTTATTAGAGCTTTACTATAATATATATAAAAGTTTAAAAATATATTCTATAAGATATTAGAAGCTTCTAAGTAGTTTAATAATATTCTTCTCTCTTAGTAGATATTTAGAGAAGTTAAGTTAATCTAAGATAATACTATAAAATAGAACTCTATATACCTTATAATTAAATATATAATTTATTTAAAGAATAAAATAGATAGTTTCTATTTTTCTTAGAGTATTAAAGATCTTATACTAGCTTAAAATATCTTAACTTCTAATAACTAGCTATAGTTATTAAAGATTATAATAATCTTAAAACTAATCTAGAGGTTTATACTTTAAATATAAGGTCTTAAATAAGATAGTTCTTATAGTAGATTTTAAGAGGTAATTACTATAATAGAGTATCTTCTAAGTTACTTTAAAGTATAGAAGACCTTCTATAATAAGACTAATATAGAGGATAATAAACTAAAAGAGTAAAAAGAGTTATAACTCCTTTTATAAAAAGCTTTTTAAAGATCTATTTATTTAGTAACTTAGTAAGGCTTATTAAATATTTAAGAGTTATAATTATCTTAGAAAAGGTTTAATAAGAGCTTTTTACCTACTTATATTAAGCTTAAATATATTAAATATCTCTCTAAGTTAAAAGAGATAAATAGTAATACTTCTTAATATTTAAGGACTTTAATTAATAATAGATAGAAGAAGCTAAATAAGTATTATACTTTAATAGAAGAGTTACTTCTATATACTACTATATTACTCCTCTACTTTAGCTTTAACTTAAAATACTTAGAGAGATATTAATAATCCCCTTACTAGTAGAAATAAGTTTCTAATATTAAACTAGCTTTAAATAAGTATTTTAACTAATAATATCTTTCTAAAAAAGAAGATAGTATAAGAAGTATAAATTAATACTTAAAACTTTATAAACTAAATAACTTTAAGTAGTAAGTTTAAGTAGAGGTTATTATAGTTAAGGGAAAGAATAATAAAGAATAACTAAATAAACTAGAGAAGTATTTTACTTTACTTAAAGTAGCTAACTATAAACTTATTACTTAGTAGTTTACTTATAAAGAAAAATATCTTCACCTAAATAAACTAGCTATAAAGATCTTAGTAATACCTTTATAGTTATCTAACTATAAGAGGGTATTTAGTACTATATCTCTTACTTAAACCTTATAGAGGCTAGTAATAGTAGTAGAAATACTAGAAAAGTTATAATATAT